TGTTTAAATTCTAATTGTCAGTATCTTTCAATTGAGACTTGCCAAAATGTAGATAAATCCATTACCTTAAGCCAATCACATTATGTTTCACAAGTTTTGAAATATTATTTAATGTCAGATGCTAAAGGTGTAGCTTTCCCTCTTCAACTCAAACCCGAGTCAAATGTTCATGGTAATTCAACAAGAGAATTTGACCGCTCAGTGTATCAGGAAGCTGTTGGAACTTTATTGTACTTATCAAACAATACTAGACCTGATCTTGCATATTCTGTTAGTAAGCTTGCTCAAAAGAATCAGTCTCCAACAGTGGGTGATTGGAATAATGTTAGACATGTTTTGAGGTACTTGATTACTACTAAGGATTACAAACTAAGGTTTACAAAATCAGGGGAGGCAATTAAAGTTTTCTGTGACGCAGATTTTGCTGGTGATACTGTTGATAGGATGTCTCGTTGTGGATATGTGATTATGCTAGCAAATTGTCCTATCTCTTGGTACTCTAAGAAACAAACATGTGTAGCTTTATCCACTGTAGAAGCAGAATATATCTCAATGTGTGAAGTAACTAAGGAAGTAGTATGGTTGAAGCAACTTTTGTCTGAGCTAGGAATGTCAAAGTATATTGAAACTCCATGTATCGTTCATTGCGATAATCAAGGTGCCATTGGTCTGTCAAACAAAGTAAATGAAAATGTGTCTGAGAGATCTAAACACATTGACGTTCAATATCATTTCTGTAAAGACATGCAGTCTAAAGGTGTTGTAAAATTTCAATATGTACCTTCTAGTGTTAATGCTGCTGATTTATTTACTAAAGGTTTTGAAGGACCTGACATGTTAAAACTTTGTGAAATGTTTGGACTAAAATCTTAAGGGGAGGTGTAGGAAATTTATACTTGTAAGATTTAAGTTGGCAGCGCATTTCTTGTCGTTCCTGTTCTTCTTCTGTTTTTCCGTTTCCTGTTACCCATGTGCTCTTGTGTCGTTTCAGTCGTAGTTGAAAAGTCGTTGAATAAACATCTCAGCAGCCAATTCGCGTGTCGCGTGTGATTACTTGAAAATCCCTACCCAAACCTGCAGAGACTTGGAAACCAACACAGTGTACATGCCAGGTTGACTCCAGGTGGAGTGTCCATGCCACGTTGGCTCCAGCGGTGCAGTGTACTATGTCGTCACTTTGAGTTTGTAGAGTGCCAGTGAACGAAATCTAAAAAAGAAACATAAAGGTGAACAACAAATGTACCGATAAAACTAAAGGCATCAGTATCATAACGTTCCTCTTCTCGTTCTGCAATGTGGTGCTCAGAGTCGGAATGTAAGAACAAGGAAAGTAACAGTGACTTTTTACAGTAACCGTTACCAATAAGCATTTACGGTTAGCATCCCACGGGTTACCACACAACTCAGAATCATTCTTTGCATCCGTCGGGAAACCCAGATCATATGAGACCTGGGAAAGGGAGAGCAGTACTGAACTCAACAATGCCTTTCTTGCTTTGAGCAGAGCAAGCCACTTAAACAGAAGTGGTAGACACACTGCAGAGATATATGTACTCTACAAATCCAAAAGCGTACATTGTATGCTCTACCTGGAGTATGCCTGCAAGCACGCTCTAGCTAGCGCATGCCTGCCAAGCATGCACTTACTGGTGCATACATGATGCCATGTACACGCTAAATGAATCATACATCTAGTGCATATGGGATAGGGAGTTGGTCTGCATCGGGAAGCGTGTACATGGCATGTATGCACTAGAAAGTGCATGCATAGCAGGCATGGGGTAGCGAGAGCGTGCTTGCAGACATGCTCCAGGTAGAGCGTACAATGTACGCTTTTGGATTTGTAGAGTAATTCATTTGTGCAAAGGAGATCCTTTGTTTCTTCCTTCATTCAGTTTGTATTGCAATCACTGCAAATGCAAAGGCGATACTTAAGTACATTTTTTGGTGATACAATTGAGTATCGCCAACAAACGGCATAACGGAAAAGTATTGCCCTCAGAACGGCGATACGCAGAAGTATCGCCAAAATTTGGCGATGCTTTTGGGTATCGCCAAAACCGCGGCATTGAACTAAGGCCTTGCCCCCTTTGATTTTTTAAATTTTTAATGCCAAATCGTGGCAATACTCCGAAGTATCCCCAAAATTTTGGCGATACTTTTGTGTATCGCCGTTTCGAAGGCAATACTCTTCCGAAAGGCCTTTTGTTGGCGATAGATCCCAATTGTATCGCCAAAAAAGGTACCAAAATATTCCCTTTTGGGATTTGCAGTTAACTGACAAAATTCCATCACAGGGACGACACAACCATTAATAAACATTTAAGCCCAAACTTTCGACTGCAGAGATTTAGGCATTTTCATCCCTTCTGATATATGCTTTTTGAACCGAGAACGTAAATTCATTCTAGCGAGAACATTTATTTGAGACGCAGACATGGTCAACGACCTCAAATTACCCTGCAACAGTCATCACACTCTCATTCCAGGAACGTGACATCACGTTAAAACGAACGTGACAAAATGTCACGTTTGTTTGAATGAAAACAAGCTGATTTTTGGAAAATTCACACACAAACGAATGTGACACAATGCTCAAACGAGCGTGACATTTAGTCACGTTCGTTACAACGTGATGTCACGTTCCGGGAATGAGAGTGCACTCACACATCAAACAACTTTTGAACCAAAATGCTGTATATTTCTTGTCCTTGTTAAACCCCTTAAACCCCTTATCATGATGGGAAGCAGGGTTTTTTAGGTACAGTTTTTCTGTACACCGTGAGGTACGGTCTAGCCGTACCCTATCCCTTGAAATGTACGGCTTTTTTTAAAAAGTGTGACGTGACAAATCGGGCATGTCACTTTCCCTTTTTAAAATTTTACAGTTCACCTCACCTGCTGATAGCGTGTCACACCCGAAGAAATGGTAAATTCACCGTCTGCCACGCTCAAACTAACATCACCGTTTTTATGTAAAAAAAAACGTGACGGTACATTCGTTAGCTACCAGTGATTAAACAATTTTAAAAAACTGTCAGCAGAGTTAGTTCAACGACCTCAAATTACCCTACTATATCAACCGTCACTCACACATTCAACTTTTGAACCAAACTCTTCATATTTCTTGTCCTTGTTCAAACCCCTTTTCTCTTAATATGATGTCAAAACGTTCGCGCGGGTTCAGAAAAAGTGTTCAGCGACCTCATTTTAGCCGGGAAAAGACACCCATGACGCACCTATTCAATTTTTGACCGAAACTGACTATAACCTGGTATCTTATCATCCGTTCAAAACCACCTAACAGAAATTTTGAGTGCAGAATGTATTTAGCGACCCAAATTGGTCGGGAAAAGACACCAAAAACGGGTTTCATTAGTGTAAATACGCTAGAAAGCGAAAATAGCCGCCATTTTGAAAAAAAGGCTGATTTAGGGAATACCCGTTGGTCGGAGGGGTTCGAAAACCTCGGCATTCGCCTCAGCATCCTCGAAATATTCGGAAACGACCCCAGGATGGCGAAAATAGGACTATTATCAAAAATTTTGAATATTGGCCGCCATTTTGTTAAAAATGTTCAAAAATTGAACCCAAATGCAAAAATCGAAAAGAGCAACGGGTCAAATCCTTTAAAATGGTCTTAGGAACAAGTGTACCAAGTTTCACGCTTCTATACCTTTTTGCGGTTTTTTTTTCGCGTACCGCCAGGACTATTTGGCGGGCCTGCCTTGTCGGGTGTTAGCAGAAGCTCTCCCGTGCCCATACTTTGAACCGCTATATCTCCTAAACGGTTTGAGATGCAACTCTGTGCGTGCTCTCATTCGATTCAGCGCGTCTTTTTCTACAAGATCACCCACACACACCAAGAAGGCAGAGACCGTCAAACAATGCTCAAAACCTGCATTTTTTAAAAAAATAAATGCCAAAATTTGCATACTTTGAACCACTATACCTCCTAAACGATTTCATTCGATTCAGTGGGTCATTTTCTACAAGATCATTAAAAGTTTTTGTCCACATATGTTTACCAGAAACCCCAAGAAAAACCTGTTTTTTTAGGTTTGTTTTTTTTTTTTTTTTTTTTGTTTTTTTTTTTTTTTGGGGGGGGGGGGGGGGGGCTCTACAGGTCTTCGTCGGAGGTCAAATCTGAGGTCATATTCTTGTTTCTTATCCAATTTTACATGAAAAGACCAAATTTTAGCCCTCTGCTAGGAAAAGTGCAAAAGCAGTCCAAAATACCTAAATTCGTGTTTTTTCTCCAAAAGTTGAACTAAAGTTGGCCATATCTGGAAGAAGTGGTCCATCTTAGTCGATTTTGTTCAGTATAAATAGTATGTCAGCATGCTAGTACTCTCAGGATGTGAGGACCTAAGCAGCGAGTCAGAGAATGTCTGAAAAGGGACCGGATCAACCTGCACTGAGAAAACCTTACAAACTATTTTAGGCCTTACAAAGAAAAGCAGTTTGTAATGACAAAGTATTAAGAGCATACAAAAGCCTACTCGCTGGCCTGAGAGACAAATTGCTTCCTCTCTGCGAACCTGCTTGGGTCTTCCAGATATCGTAGGAAATCTGCAGGAGTCACCCTCAAAGACCCTCTGATGAAGAAAAGAAAATTTGTGAAAAGCCAAGAAGTTGATGGAATGAAAATTCAGGGAACCTCAGAGCCACACAGAGCATCAGAAATAACTGAATTGGTGAGCTCGGCAAGCTTAAAATTTACTACTGTGTAAAAATTTTCTTGCCTAAAGAAGGGAAGATACACTTATGCATCTGCTCAGAGCCAGCTGACTACAAAACAAGATTCTAGTGCTGCAGTATATGAATGCGATGGTGCCGAACAGGTTGGTGTCATACAGTGCTTCTTACCGTTACGTAATTGTTCATGTGTATCCATATGTAGTTGTAAATCTACTTTGTATGTTGTAATGGAAAAGTGGAAAAATGGAAACAAGACCTTTAATTCCATCCCTTAGTGTAGAATGCTCAATAACTTCAAGTTTCTTCCCAGAAACTAACGCTTAAGCGTCACAATTATTTTATTGGTTCAGTTGGTGTTCAAATGTTTCAAGTTGTTGGAGGTGAGCAACAAGTAGACGACCGCCGCTTGAGTGCAGCACAGCGGCTTTGATATCAATGAAGCATGAAAATGTCCAGTGACCTTGCTGCAGAACGGCTGTGCGAGGGTAGTTTTACTTGCAGCTGGTGATACTTTTATTTAGGGAATGTTGGCCCACTGGTCGACGCAGTCGGCAGCCTTGCTGGCCCAGTTCTCGTAGATGGAGGGCTCGGCCGTGCCCTTGTTGGTGACGCACGTCACGTACATCTGATGCCAGTCGCGACGCAGCAGGCGGAAGTAGGCGGTGGCGAGTTCGACGCAGGCCGTGAGCGGGTGCCTGTCGCTCACACCAGGCTGCACCGAGAGCCCGATGCACGTCGTCAGCTTCTCGTTGAGCGGCCGATCGGCGCGCGCAGCGACCTGCTGCACCAACTGCCGAGCAAAGCACAGGCGAGTGTATCAGTTGCATCGGTCCTCATGTTGATGCGACAATAAACGCGTTTGAAGTACACGAGTAGGCTAACCGTCGCACGGCCTTTAGAGGAAGGTGCGGCCAGTGATAGATAGTCGGTGTTAGGTGACAGAGATGTGACGATGAAAGGGTAGAGTGAACCGTATGCAGTGCACCATGCATCATTTCGAAGCTCGACTCGTAGCAAACGCTACAAGGTGCGGTTCTCTAACTACAGAACAAGTGCGAGGTCACACTATTTCAACGTCATTCCTCCGTTATTTCAAAAGGATTCCAAAGACATTTCAAGTTATTTTGACGTTGTTTCGAAGTTATCTCAAGGGAAATTTTCAGGCTTATCTATACCGAGGGGGCAACCACGTACGATGTTTGAGGGGGGCTACTAGATTTCTTAAGACAAGAGATTTCGTAAGATTTTTTCCATTTTACGCCTAAAATCTTTCGGATTTCGAATTTGAAAAGATTTTGGATTTCCAGAGATTTTTAGGGCTTTAGGGGACACAGGACTTCTCGAGTGGTTGCTCCCTCGATCTAAACCAAAATTCAAGTCGTTTTCCCCTTGGTAATTAAAAGCAAAACGAAAGAAGCTCCGAGGAAAACGCGCGTCTTTGATTTGTAATTATACGTCTTCACGTTTATGAGTTTTCTCGAGCTTTATTTACCACGGATTGGCAATAATTTTGCTTTCCTAGCTGGAGCTACTCGCTTATATAGAAATCTAAGAAGTTCGTACCTTACAAATACTCAAAATACTTCATAAGATTTTAGGATTTGCAGCCCATCTTGTGGATTCCTCCTTCTCTCTTCGAGTTGCAGAAATACATGCCTCATTTAAAAAAGTTAGCAAACGTCTTCCGGGAGAGCAATGCGCGCTGTCGAGCATTGCGTCCTGTCTCGTACCTTTTAGCCACCTGTTGGTGTCCAAAAGAAAGGCTATCTTTTCCCCACCCGTCGGTATCACCTGACTACGGCTGTAGAAGCGCTGTCATGGCGGCCTTACCATCAAAGTGGCTGCCACCACGACGAGGACGAGTTTCATGGCGGACATCTCCATGGCGAATACTCCGGTAGCAGCGACACCCGTTCCTCAAGTAGCCGCGCCCGGGAACGCAAGCACTGCCTTCGTGTCCTGTGGTCACGCCACATCGTGACAAAACCCTTAAACCGACACAAACAAGTGGTGCGTCTTTTCGTGGAAGTAAAAATCGTTAAAAAGATAGGACCACAAGTTGATTTGTTTTGAATAGCTCGCCTAGAAATAACTTGGTGAAGTGTTTGTTTGTCATGCAAATTCCCAGTTTTGAATGCCGAAATTTGGCAAGCTTTGGTCGGAAATCTTCATAGCTTCCAGTTTAGGGGCAAAGCAAACTTACCACCGGCTTTGCAGTGTTTACGTTAGAATGTGGATTGATTTATGGAACCAATTGTGGGTCAGCAATTTTTAACGCTGCCCGCGCACCAAGCCTTGCACCCCTTCTGCCAAACTTAGGTTGACTTATGGTGCTTCACCTATTGTACGCTTAAATCGGTAACGCCGTCCCACTTCATTCCATAATTCTATTTTCGTAAGTGTTTGAAAACGGGGCATTGTGTCCGTTATGAGGATACGGATGATGGTGATGGTGGTGTGTGTGTGTAGGCATAAGGATGGTATTCAGGGTAATACTACGGCCGTGGTGGGTAGTATGAGAGATGGGGAGGGTATGTATGAGGTGGTGGACAGACACACTGTTCAAAAAGTCGAAAGTTTCAGACTTTATAGGATGAAGTCAGTTTTGAAACCCCGAGGTCTGAATTTTCATACCCCCAGACCCCAAACATGGTTCCGTGGTCCATTCCAACGTAAAGATTTAAATCACAGAAACCGTCTACAGAGTGGCGCTACACTTTTGAAAATTTTGACAGTTATTTCGTAGGCTATCTTGACAAAAATGCAATTGCATCATTCATGTTATTGGATTACGTTCACCGAGCAAACAGTTTATGTTTCTCCTGAAAAATGATGAAAATTGAGTTATCTCCTTGTTCCGCTTCATGGATCATTTGATACCGGTAAATACATCCCAGTCAAGCTCACTCCAGTAAACACATCACTAACTGCAGACTTTCAATTATTCAGGTTGAATATAAATGCTGAAAGCTTTCACATTCAGTGATGACAATATTAATGTAAGGTTACAGGAAGCTAATTTCGTTTGCGTCAGCAAAGCGTTGCCCAACTATTTACTCCTTTTTCCATCGTTTAAAAGGACATTGGTCCAGTGAGTCAGATCCTGGAAGGTCTCTTTCAGTGACCATGTAGATAAAGATAATGTGTTAAGTAAACACAAAGGCCTAAACAAAGCGATATCCATGATGACACAAGCTTTTACTCATTCCTTTGACTTATTCCAATCCCCAGCTAACCTGCAACACTTGGCCATTGTTAGAAGTTCCATGGACAGAACTCGGGATAAGAAAGTTCCATGCACTATCCAGCACTCTCCCTTTCGTCGTCTTCACTGAACAAAATGCCAAAGTACAGCAGCACCACTTTAAATCGCCAACTCAGATATAATAAAGAAATCATTTTAGTTCACACACGAGCAACAGGACTGCCAGGTTGAAATTCATTTTGTTGTCCTCGCTTGTGTATCCCTTCTCTTTTACTTTTCTTGCCCTGGGGTAGGCCAAATTTTCTGTTTAATTTTGAACGTCTCTCTTTGCTGCCCGAAAGGTGGCGTTGTGGTCGTTGCTCAGACATACGCGCAGTTCTTGAAAACGACACGTTAGCAGCTTACAAAACCTAAAAAAACAAAAGTTAAATTCACTTATCCACACAAGAACATGGTCCTCGTTTAGTAAAACAAATTATAATTGCCCGAGCTACCAAATAAACCTCAGTTCAGGCGCAAGGGACCTGAAATGACCCCCTACGCAGGGAATCACCCAGGAGCAGTGCAGGTAGTTGTTCATGAGACGTTTCGAACTGTAAGCGCATCTTCAATAAAGGAATTTTTTTTAAATCACAATACAGATCCCAAGTAACAATACAGATTTTTACCCCAAAGTCCTCTTCAAATCAAGTGAAGAAAATTTTACGTTCGAAGGACAGGTGTAACACTACGCTTTAATGAACCAACCATCGTATCCGCGATCTATGACGTGCCGTCGTACACGACTCCGATCAGTGTGTTATCTGCAGCTCGTGGCGTGGGCAGTCACGATCGGTCATGTGGAATCCTTTAAGAAGCTGGTCGTCCGCAGAATGCAGACATTCACCAACATGAGGCTCACCTTCGCCCTTATCCCCTGCCTGTTGGTGGTGTTAGCGTTTCACCCAACCCACCAAGCGGTAAGACCATGCTGCTTTTTTTTAACGTCCGTTGTTTCGAAGTTCTAAACTGGTGGAAGGCGTGCTCAAACACGCAAAGCTCAGAAGAGAATGGCATTCTGACACGCTCGTTTCTGCGTGGTGTCATTCTCCTGCAATTGGAGTTAATTATATATTTAATTATGGGGGAAGAAGGCATCAGTTCGGTAATGCCGTCAAAGCGGCCAATATGGACGACGGTGGGTAATATGGACCACCCTTCGCCATCCTTGGCATTCTTCACCTCTGTGATCGGTGCTGCCGCCTAGCTGAGGCCTCAGAAACACTATCCGGCACTAGCAACCGAATTTCTATGTACCGTGGCTGAAATAGTGCCAGCCGTTCGCGTAGTCGCAATATACGTACATTCACTGAGAATGAAAGAGTCATGATCATGACTAAAATTATGGGTGAGGAATTCTTTATTACCCAAATTTGGACGAGGAAATTTTCCTCGCCCAAATTTGGGTGAGGAAAGTTTCCTCACCCAAATTTGGGTCATAGTACTATGGTGCTATTTGGGAGCTGATACACCCTTCCTCACCCAAAATTGGGCGAGGAAGCTTTTCTTGCCCAAATTGGGCGAGGAAACATTCCTCGCCCAAATTTGGGTGAGAAAGTAAACCTCGCCCAAAATTGGGTATTGATCATGACTTTTTCATTCTCAGTGAATTCGCGTAATAGTTGGGTCACTCCATCCGTATTAGTTCGCGTACAAGCAGGGATCCTTAAATTACCTCAAAAGGGCATCATAACGTCATCGTACGAGTCAAAGTTATGACCCTTCACATCTAAATTCTTTTCAAAAGGATAAGTTATTTTTCTTGTGTCTCGAATTTGTATGGAGATACTTTAAGAAGTACTTGCAAAAGTCCGTACCCTTAACCTGTAGCGAACATTGTTTTATGTTACGTTATGGAAGAGGTGCTGCGGTGTTAGTTAAATGTTACGTTAAGGATCCCTGCGTACAAGTACAGTTATAGGGAAAATTCTCAGATTTTGTTTTTACGGTTTTTGGGTTGTTTTGAGCAGGTTTTAGAACCCGGTTATTTTGAGACGTAGTGGTTGTAATAGATCTTTCGCCCGCCAGTAACTGCATATCGGGTTTACTTTCAGAATGATCCGCTCGCAGTGCCGTGGGCAAGCAAGCAGGGTCTCCTCAAGAGCTGCATCGCTTCCTCCCAGGCCGTCACACACTTCCCCCAGAATGTAATCAACGACTACAACAACTGCCACACCGCCCTGCTGCGAAGCTACGCCAACCGCCACCAGACGCTGCTCCTGACCGGCTACGTGTCGGGCATGATCGAGTGCGGCAGGGCCACCGCCTCCTGGCAGCTCGGCTCTTTGGTTGGCGACGTCATGCTTTGCGTGGCTCTGGCCATGGCCGCCGGCTAACAATCCGATACTTGGCAACCTCATTCCGTGGCCATACTTCTCAGGCTTACCCTGTGGCGGTGGGCTTTTCTTCGAATTGTTAAATAAATGAATAATTTGTAAAAGTTTTGGGCCCTATTTAAGTATATATATGAAAGGATGCGTCGAATGTGTTCACCAACGGGTTTATTGACAGACTCTCTGAGGTACAAGGGGGCTGTTGCCAAGGCGACAACAGGGAAGGACCGCGTACAATGCGCATGCGCGAGCGCACTGAAAAAAAAGTCTAGTAACGATAACCAGAATCCTGGTACCAAATACCAGACTGTCTGATAGAATATAACTCAACTAGAATTCTGGTAAAAAATACTACACTGTCTAGTTGGCCTCAGTCTAGTAAACCGTACCAGATTTATAGTTATCCTCACAATGCCGCTAGGTCCCCTTCTGGTAGTTTTTACCAAACATCCTGGTTAGTTAATGTGCTTACAAAACTGAAGTAAGAAGTCCAAAATTTAATAAAATATTTTTTCGTAGTGATGAAACCTGATGTGACGTCGATTTCGTTAACGAACAACCTCTGAATTGTTTTTTCCCTCCTCCTCTCCTCCGGATTCGAACCGGGATCTCACACTTGTGAGACGGGCACGTTACCACTGCGCCACCACGTCGCCTGTGGGTCGAGGGGATCCCCACCAGGTGACTCTCTACGTGTCTGGCTCAGGGAAATACTCCCAGTGTTTCTTTCGGATTTAAGACTCCGAAAATAACGAAACCGGTTGCAGTTTACTTTTTGACACCCGAACATTTAAATTGAAACGAATATTTCGAAGTTTTACGTATGGTGCCAATTACGGAACAGTCTGGTAAAATTTACCAGGATTATTAACCAGACACCTGGTAAATGTCACAACACCCGATCTGGTTACTGCAACTGATCATCTGGTGAGAGTTACTAGGATTCTCGTATGAGTAACTAGTACTCGTTTAACTAGGATTGGTCTGGTACTTTTAACCAGACTTTTTTCTCAGTGCGAGGGGAGGAATGTGCTGCCAACTTTATAACACTACCCCCTTCTTTTAAAGACGGAGGTTGCAGCAGAATTTAAAAAATTTAGCGATCAATGAATTTAGAGAGGCGGTATATATATATATATATATATACCACTTACACTGAGAATTGGTGGCCGGCATAATATGTAATGCCGGCCAGATTGGCCGGCATTATGGTCATTTTGCCGGCCGCGGAGGTGAGCGCCGGTGCCGGCCAGGGTCGAGCCGCGCGACGCGACTCTGGCCGGCATAAATTGTGTCGTCCTGGCCTCCACAATATTTGCCGGCCAGGGACGTCTCAGATCTGTGAGAGGTGGCGGTCCTTGCGGCGGCCAGCCGAACTACTGTCCCCTGGCGTCCCCCCGCATCCCCGCGCAGCGCCGTGTGTTCCCCCACCCCTCCCCCTTCCCTTCCTCTCTTCCTCTCCGAGTGGCGTACGCGTACAAGCAACGTGCGTGCAGTATCAATCCTCGCTCGTAAAATGAACCTCCACGCCAAGGTTGTGACCTCCGCAGTTGAGGAGGAATTTATAAAAAGCGTTCAGCAGTCACCCCTGTTCTGCAACGTTGACTTCTTGGAGGCTTGGAATGACCTGTCGCCTGGAATTACGCCGCTCGCCATCTCCATGGGCATCACATTTGGCAACATGCCATATGCTCTCGATGATGGCAAGTAATAACTATGTCTCTTAATTACCTCTTTATGCATCAACCATCTGTTTTGGGTAAGGCGTGGAACTGTGGAGTGATCTTGGCCATTCTCAGACCCTTAAGAGAGTTTTTCACTGTCATATAAGTTGAAAGTGGTGGCTGAAACTGAGCGGGGTATTATGGACACTTTTTCGCGAAACTGGGCATTCTGAAGCGAAACGCGTTTGAGAAGTCTTGTCCACACAGCATTTTAAAGTGGGGCGGCAAGTGGCGCTGCCAACTCGACATACCATGACATGTCATACCATAACATGACAAAGGTGTCATCATGTTTCGAGACAAAAGTATTCGTTACGCGGTGGGAGGGACGTTTGCAATCGTCCCGCCGGGCCTAACGCCTACGCTTTTGCGCGTTGCCCGTGGTGCTATTGAACATGTACACTTGTCGGCAGCGCATGTTGGCAGCGCCGGGCGCAGCAGCCCGCGAACGCCGCACACCGACGCGCACCCGCCGCCATTTGCAATCGCGCCTAGACCCAGCCCCGCCAAGACCCATCTAAAATTGTCCAATTTAAACCATCATTTACGGCTATTGTGAATTAAATCCCATTGGCGTGCAGCTTCCAGGATAGAAAGTAGGTGACGCTTCAACGGAAAACATGTTCGCAGTCTGTTCGGAGCGCTCTATGGCTCCAGGGCTGCTGGGACTGCTGCACAGTGGAGCGAAACGCCAAAAAATGCGACATCGTGCGACATAGAATCATTTTCCGATCCCTCAGCTTTTTTCACGGCATATGGTCATTTCATGATGTTATCTAGTAAAAGAAATGATTTCCTGGTATTGGCTAGGCTTATAGAGCAAAAAATCGCGAAAAACACGAAAATTTTGTATCAAAATGTGCCATTTTTTACACGTTTTTTGCCCGTAAAACTGTCAGTTTTTCGATTCTGCAACTTTTCTCAACAGATTCTGAAAGCTAAGGACAAGGCCTACAACTTTTGTTTTGGTCGCAACGCTGTAGCGAGGTCGGCTCTTCGACTTTTTTGGCCTCAAAGGTTTTTCCTATAATAAATTGCACTGGAAAATTATTCTTATTTAGACAAATTTAGGTATTCTTGTGCCCCTGCAGTCCGCTTTACATCCCAACCAGTTTCAATTCATCCGATCGAGTTAATAAGAACCGGAAACAGATGTAGCGAGGCAACACAGACCTCAAGGGCACAAAAATACCTAAATTTGTCAAAATAGGAATAATTTTTCAATAAAATTTATTATAGGGAAAACCTTTGAGGCCAAAAAACTCGAAGAGCCGACCTCGCTACAGTGTTGCGACCATAACAAAACTTGTAGGCCTTGTCCTTAGCTTTCAGAATCTGTTGAGAAAAGTTGCAGAATCGAAAAAATGTCAGTTTTACGGGCAAAAAACGTGTAAAAAATGGTACATTTTAGTACAAAATTTTCATGTTTTTCGCGATTTTTTGCTCTACAAGCCTAGCCAATACCAGGAAATCATTTCTTTTACTAGATAACATCATGAAATGACCATATGCCGTGAAAAAAGCTGACAGATCGGAAAATGATTTTATGTCCCACGATGTCGCATTTTTTGGCGTTTCGCTCCACTGTGTGCTGGGCGCCAAGCCTCTTAACCCTACCAAGGCACCCGGCAACTATTTTATGTTTGTTTCATGATCAACCTGACCAGGAGAGTGCCCCATGTTCATGACTGTGAATGCTGCATGACCTCAGCGTTCCAGCCCCACCCTGAGCAGACCACGGAGGACTCAGAAACTTCCACTGTGATGACCAGCAACAGACCCACCTAGGCCACTGTGGACCTGAGTCGAGTACCAAAAGCTGTTGATTCAGTGAATTTCTGCTGTGCAGAAAACCTTAGTGACTGCCCTAGGTGAACTGTGGCCTCAATGCTTGTAAGTTAACAATGTATGTTATACACTGTGGATATGCAGACCTTCACAGTCTTTTGATTTGAGTCTCAATTTAAGATTGATTTCTCACTACCACTTTGCATCCTTGCACTCTATAGTCGAACTTCTTTAGAAGTTGACTCATCAGTAACGAGTCAGGTTTCTTTGGACAACTTCTCATGAATTCCCATCAGAGATTTTTACTGTGCACTGAGTTTACTTCATTGCAAAGCTTCTCCAATAGATTTCATGTCTTTAGTATTCATACTTAGTTCTAAAAGTTAGGAAATGCTTAGTTTACTGTTATAAGCCAAAACCCAACTTTTTAATGAAAATTCAAAATTATTTTTGTCTAAATTCATATCTGAAGGACTCAGGCTTGAATAAGAAGACACCAGAAGGCATGACAGATCTCAGTTTAACCTCAAACAAAAGTTGGACCAACTTCGGCTCCAAATCTGCCGATACACTCACAGTTAGGTTCTGAAGAAAAAATGATACAATGAGTGAACATGTATCCTTGAAACTTTGCAGCAAGTAGCTTTGATGTAAAACAAAGCCTCTCCAGCATGAATGAACTTTCAAATCTTTTGAATTTAGTTTGGAAAGTTGCAAATGTCTAATACACTAATATCTTTGAAAACTGAACTTTTTATTCGACATGTTTTCTCTTTATATATTAAATTCATGCAAGCATGACAGCCACTTGGATTTATGACTAGAATTGTGAGTCTAGAAGGACTGTGCCCAAAGTTATTAAGATATGAAAATATGCCCTAACACTAATTACGATAATGGCTTTTCACTAACGAGTGACATTAATTCAACAACTTCTCATGAATTCCCATCAGAGATTTTTACTGTGCACTGAGTTTACTTCATTGCAAAGCTTCTCCAATAGATTTCATGTCTTTAGTATTCATACTTAGTTCTAAAAGTTAGGAAATGCTTAGTTTACTGTTATAAGCCAAAACCCAACTTTTTAATGAAAATTCAAAATTATTTTTGTCTAAATTCATATCTGAAGGACTCAGGCTTGAATAAGAAGACACCAGAAGGCATGACAGATCTCAGTTTAACCTCAAACAAAAGTTGGACCAACTTCGGCTCCAAATCTGCCGATACACTCACAGTTAGGTTCTGAAGAAAAAATGATACAATGAGTGAACATGTATCCTTGAAACTTTGCAGCAAGTAGCTTTGATGTAAAACAAAGCCTCTCCAGCATGAATGAACTTTCAAATCTTTTGAATTTAGTTTGGAAAGTTGCAAATGTCTAATACACTAATATCTTTGAAAACTGAACTTTTTATTCGACATGTTTTCTCTTTATATATTAAATTCATGCAAGCATGACAGCCACTTGGATTTATGACTAGAATTGTGAGTCTAGAAGGACTGTGCCCAAAGTTATTAAGATATGAAAATATGCCCTAACACTAATTACGATAATGGCTTTTCACTAACGAGTGACATTAATTCAACAACTTCTCATGAATTCCCATCAGAGATTTTTACTGTGCACTGAGTTTACTTCATTGCAAAGCTTCTCCAATAGATTTCATGTCTTTAGTATTCATACTTAGTTCTAAAAGTTAGGAAATGCTTAGTTTACTGTTATAAGCCAAAACCCAACTTTTTAATGAAAATTCAAAATTATTTTTGTCTAAATTCATATCTGAAGGACTCAGGCTTGAATAAGAAGACACCAGAAGGCATGACAGATCTCAGTTTAACCTCAAACAAAAGTTGGACCAACTTCGGCTCCAAATCTGCCGATACACTCACAGTTAGGTTCTGAAGAAAAAATGATACAATGAGTGAACATGTATCCTTGAAACTTTGCAGCAAGTAGCTTTGATGTAAAACAAAGCCTCTCCAGCATGAATGAACTTTCAAATCTTTTGAATTTGGTTTGGAAAGTTGCAAATGTCTAATACACTAATATCTTTGAAAACTGAACTTTTTATTCGACATGTTTTCTCTTTATATATTAAATTCATGCAAGCATGACAGCCACTTGGATTTATGACTAGAATTGTGAGTCTAGAAGGACTGTGCCCAAAGTTATTAAGATATGAAAATATGCCCTAACACTAATTACGATAATGGCTTTTCACTAACGAGTGACATTAATTCAACAACTTCTCATGAATTCCCATCAGAGATTTTTACTGTGCACTGAGTTTACTTCATTGCAAAGCTTCTCCTACAAAAATAAAGTCACAAATCTTTGAATTTGTTTGAAAAAAGTTAGTAAATAGAAAGTACACTGTTGGAAACAAAAAGTCAACTAATTTATCAAAATGTTTGGTGTTTAAATCTTAAATTCTTGTTAAGATGACTCACACTCACTCACAATATAGGTAGTTTTAGTCTAAGATCATCCATATAGATGATATTCAATAAACAAAGAAATCTCTAAGTTCGTCAGATTGCTCGAGTCAGTGTAAGATCATCACACTAATTAAAGTTTATCACGATGAAAAAACAGACATATCTGCAAGCCATGTTAGTTGGAATAATTGATCAATGCACCCTAATGATGTCTTTAACCGTTTTCACAGACATGTGCCCAGAGATGGAGACCTACCAAGATGACGAGTTCTGATGTGTGCAGGGTAATCACTGCGTTCCTTCGAGTCCACAAAAACGCTGCTGACACGCCCGGGAGTGATGATGAGGACATCCGGCTAGCCCCTGCCCACATTCCTGGGTCAAAGGAAAAGACAGCCATGGAGGAGGTACGTAAATGTGCTACGATGGGCCATCTCTCCATTTGTGTTTTGTTTCCCCAACTGTGTTTTTTAAACTCTGGTCTGTTCTGACCAACAGACAACTTGGTTTATGCAACTGTCCAACAAGTTGGACCAGTTGAAGAAGAAGGCAATAAGGGACAACGATACTGCAGTCCTAGAGGCAAGGTCCAGGAAAGGCTACAATTACAATGGCCGGAAACAGAAAGTTCCCAAGGACCCAGTTGACCCCACTGTCGAGAGAGTCGCAGAAGTAAACCGGCCAGCAGTGAGAGCTTGGAGGAAGGTAAGTTATTAGTCCTCTTCACCTTTTGTTAAGATAGGTGACATCCTACGCTGGCATCAGCCAGATGCGGTTTTTATGAATGTGTGTAGAGATAAGTGCTGACATCCTTTTGTGCTCTGTCCAACAGAAAATCAAGCCAGTTGAGAACCAGTTCCAGACTCCTCGATACCGGCGTGATCACTGAGGCGTGCATGTCGTGCGCCGCGTCGCGCCAGTACGCCAAGTTCAGTCAGCCGCTCAGCTGGCCCGCGTGTTAAATTTTATATCTTATAAATTATTGACTAAGTGCCTATGTTATTGATACGGGTATTTTTAATATAATTATAATAAATTTTATTTATTATAAATAATTATTTTTGTCAGTGTACAATTAACCCTGTCCATCTGCGCACGAAGTGCCGCCCAGGGCGGCCACAATCCGCACGCCCTGGCTGTCACAATAATTACACGACCAGAGCCGCCACAAAATGCCGACCAGAAACCGCATCACACGCGCTACTCACGCAGACCGCCGGCACATTTGCCGCGACCAGCGGACGTGCAGGGCTCCAAACTGGCTCCAGACGGACCCAGCCCGCATTAGCGCCGACCCGGGCGGGCACAATCACGCAGCTCGGGCCGGCACATTTCAACGCTCCGACCCGCACCCTCGCACCGCCCCGCGGCTGGCACTTCCCGCGACCCCGGCCTCCAGGCGGGGCTGCCCGCCGCCCAAGCGGAGCGGCATCGGCCGTCATAATTTGACGGCGGAGGCCGCCAGATTTGTCCCGGCCCTGGCGGGGCGCGTCCTGCGGGCCAGGGTCGCGTGTCTGCAAAATGCCGACCCGCGGCCGGCATTATTGTATAGGCTTCGGCCGGCAGGCGGGGTCCGGCTCGGGGCCGGCAAAAATGCCGGCCACCAATTCTCAGTGTAAAACGGAATCATGTTTTGTACTAGGGTGATTCCGCGCGTAGAGGGCCTTTTCGTGTCCACACCCTCCCCAGAGCGAACTTATTCGAGTGCAGTCCATTTATACACTTAAGAATCTTGTTTGGCACTACAATAGCTTGTTCCCTTTGTATACGGACTTTCAAAGCTAATATGTGACGCGGGAGAGGGGCCAAAAGGGTTGATTTTGTAAGTTCCGTCATGTCCATTCGCACCTTACACCAACTTTGCGGCTCTATAACCCTTCGTTCCATTCAAATCTTCGAATTCCACACACACCCATCAAATCTTTAACTAATAGTGACTTTCTTGCTTGAATTCGAAGATCGTATATTGATTGGAACTGTACTTTCAGAACGCGTACTAAATGTCCACCGTACCCCGACTTTTACCTTAGCGGTTTCAAAGTAAGCACCAAAAACACTACTAGGAGTGCTTCCTGCTCAAAACAACCGCCGTATTCAGAATCAGCACGGTCTGTTTACCATATGAAAGAATTTCGGTGGCGAAAAAGTGAGGGGGGTGAGTGTGCGAGTGGAAGTTGTGTGTGAAATCGGTGGGTTGTAACAATTGGTGTAATTTCCGTATGCCCCTCTCGCTCCTCGTCTATTGGGTTTTGAAAGACATCCTACACGTGAAAAGATGTGTCTTGACGTCGAACTAGTGTGCCAAACTTATGGCATATTTCTGTGGCGATATGCAGTTGAAGTGAGCCAGAAACACCTGTTTGTAATTTCCGTGAAGCGTAATTTCCGTCATATTTTCAGTTAATTTCGTCATATTTTATAGGGGGAGAAAACGAGAGTCAACTTTTAGCTCGCCCACGCTCAGAGTGTCTTTCTGGGGTTCAATTGATGCCATCTAGGCCAAATTCCGGCCGAACAAGCAAGATTGATTACTTGACTTTCTTAGGTGGCTAAAACGGCCCCTACGCACGGAATCACCCACTAGCCAGTCTGGAGTGAGCATGAAGTATTTGTGCGCGAGCAGATTTGAACAGCTGCAGTTGAATGTGCTGACTGATGAACTAGCTAAAAGCCCATGCACCAGTCCCGAGTGCTTGGGGGGAACTACAAACCTGAAGAACAAAGGAGGGAGATGGATGCATTAGGTATTGACATGAATTGATGACACAGACTAAATGCAACACAGGCTGCACGCACTAGATTTTGGGATGACCAAAATGAATATAGTTGATGGAGAAAAGCAGGAGGTCTTCAACATGAGCCGGGGAAAAGGCATGTGCGCTTCCAAAATAGAGCATGGGCGAAGTGATTCCTGGATACTTCCGGGGTAATATTCGTAGAATGGAAGAGCAGGCAACAGCATACATCCTAAAGTGGTTTGTCATCTTCACTCCATCTTCGACTGTGATCCCTATAGCTTGTCCATATACTGCAGCGCCTGCCTTCTGAAAATTCAATGCTGAGTCACCACAACACCCAGTGCATCCGCAATCTACCACATCATGTCGAACGTCTTTAGCAAGGCATTCCTTAATGTACGTCAGGAACAGGCAACCTGAGCAAACCACGAATAAATTTCTGGGTTCTCTTCTGATCTTCAATGCCTTGCTTTACAAGTTTTGAGACGACCCTCTTCGGGGCAGGAGTTCGCACACAGATAGATGGTACCCCATCTTTAAAATAATGTGCAAGTACAGCGATCGGATCCTCACACTTAGGAACATCCTCTGCAAGGGCCCGCGAACTGAAAAGAAGCACAAGATATCGCAGCAACATGAAACCTCAGCACCCAACCACCATAAGAAACAACAAAACCCATCAACAGGCCTCTGCACAGTAAGATGCAGGACACTTCGCAGCCTGAAGGAACCGAGCGATGTCTGCGCGATCCTTGTCAACATCTCGCACGTCTCCGTCGCCCTCACCATCTTCTTTTTCCGTAGAATCCGCGTTGGGCGAAAACGACCGATGTCCAGAGAGGTTTGGTGCATCACGAAAGACGAGAAGGTTGTGCTTTGCAGCAGCATCCTCCAATCCTCGCCGCATCCCAACATCAATGATATGTTGCAGAGAGCTTCCCGTCCCCGCACAGGAGGCGCCGAGCGTCACCTATGATAACAATGGAACGCATTGGCGTGGTGGGAAGAAAACAGAAAAACACTCAAAGATTCGTAGAGGTTAGGTCATACCTTGAAAACACCGGCCTCAACCACGGTTGGGTCCCTCTTCCACACATCTTCAGTAAAAGACGGGATGGTGAAAAGCACGTTTTCCTCTGCCGTGAATGTCCACACGTCGCAATCAAGATCAGAGTAGTGTGATGCCATACTTGGAAAAGCACTTCCAGGCCAAAGACGAGGCAGCCAAGGGCAACGTGCAAAACGCAGGAAACAGGAGAGGAGATGAAATGGCAGTGGCTCGCAGACGAGAAGCGACCTGCTCCGGAGCTGTGTTGGAGCTGAAGCGCAACTCTTGCAACTGCAACTAAACTTACAAGCAACAACAACAACGCAAGGCAATTTTACACAACACTCAGACACAGGACGGCCGGCAGACGACGGACTCGGCTCGGCAGGCAGAAGAGGCACAGGAACGCAAGGAAAGTAGGGCTGGGCTCCCCCACCACCAGCCCCCACCCGGGTTGCGCCGCCTTCCGCGAGGACACAATAAAATAGTGCATCATTTTAACAAGATTTCTGTGATGAATAATTCATAAAACGGCCTCTACGAATAAATTTCATAAAATAACGAAATGTTATTGTTACTTCACAGAGAATTTGTAAATTTTTTTTCATAAATTCACAATAATTTTTTACAGTGCATGACCGGGGGTAACTTGGGACAGTGGGTAATTAGCTACATTCCCATGCATCTATTGATGTTAATGGATGTAATAAATTTAAGTCACAACATATAGACCAAGAATTCAGGCCCAGGAACTCTTGTAGGATCGATATTGGACTATATCTAGGGCTCTACGTGGAACTCTCTTTTCTACTGGTAAGGGAGTATAGGGCGATTTGTAACAGATTTCGGAATTCTCTATACAAAATTAAGAACATTCTGCATATCGGTGTCAAACTTGTGCCAGTTGAGCAGTCTGGCCCTTCATCTAGACTGTGCAGCTCCATTGGATCAATCTGGAGTCCGAAATCTTTGAAATCTAAGACGTTTGCCAAACCCTTGCATGCTGTTACGAATCGCCCCAGCATGGGGTGATTTGTAACAGCCATGGGGCTTTTCATAACATCCTACACATTAATTGAAACATCGTCGGGAATGTTATCTCCTCCACCAGTTGTTCTTCGGGTGTCATGCAGACGTCTAAAAATCTACATTACAAGCTGCCGTTGACCGCCTGAGCATTAACTGATAGGCTATGTCAATCCTTACCTCCCTTTTTTTCAATTTTAGAGGAAAGAATAGAATAACTCGCTATAAAATGCATTTCGAGCTGTGTAAATGTATTGGAATAACTCGCGCTGCTCGCTGGGGGCTCCGCCCCCAGACCCCCGCATGTGTGGGGCGCGTGCCGAAATATTTTCAGTACGTCCAAGGTGACCAAAGGCAAATTTTCAAAGGAAGTAAATGTACTGCTTCTTTGAAAGGTCTATTTAACAACTTTTGACCATATAATTAAGCTATACTTTTACTGCCCAAATAGATAGCTTGTATTGCTTTGGCTACTGTGGCAGTCAATGGGTGCATACAAGGTCCGGAAAATATTGAAGACTACTTTGACAAGGATAGAGGTGAATGGAAGTCTCTACGACCACCCCTTGACCCCAAACATTTCTATGAGTGAGTGAGTGAGTGAGTGAGTGAGTGAGTCAGTCGGATTGGGGCTATATAGGTTCTTGATGATTGATGATTATTTACCCCATTGCCGGTGGCGGGGACCCGACTGCGGCACAGTTTCGGAAATTCTCGACCAGAGCTACCGATGGGGCGAATAAAAATTTTTAGTCAGTCGGTCCCCTTTTTAGAAGATTGAGTAGGTTTGCTCGGAAACGGTGAGGAATTTTCAACTGTTGGGATTTTATCCCATTTTCCCATAAAATTTGGAGTCGAATGGAAAGAACCTTAAGTCTCTACGACTATTCCTTGACCCCAAAAAAAGTGAGTGAGGGACTCAGTCGGATTTAGGGGCTATGTAGGTTCTTGATTGATGATTTTGAGGACGTTGCCGGTGACGGGGACCCGATTGCGGCATAGTTTCAGAAATGTCTCGACTTGACCTATCGATAGGGCGAATAAAAATTTTCAGTCGGTCGGTCCCCTTTCTTGAAGATTGAGTGGATTTTGTTGAATTTAGGCCTATTTAATCGTTTTGAGGGTGTTGCCGGTGACGGGGACCCGATTGCGGCACAGTTTCGGAAATGTCTCGACCA